TGACCATTAGACTTACTCTGAGGCTTGATCCTCGAATTAGTCACCCAGGTGCAAGTGATGGACGAATTACCATAAAAAGACCACACCATCTTGGTCTTCATACTTTCAATGCATCATCTTTGTTTGATATTAACGCAAGTGAATGGATGGTTTCAATTTGCTTTGCCATTTCGACTATACCCCATTGTCTCATTTACCCACTACATCAGGCTTCGGGCCTCGAGCTTGTTGCGGAAAACTGAGGGTACTCTTAGGATGCGAAGATGAGGCTAAAATTGCAGTCAAGTCAGAATATAAGTGACCTTTACGCCATCTTACATGGTTCGTGGTTGGAATCGCTCTTAGATCTCTTAAAGTTGTATAAACCTTGTTCACAGTGATTATATTCAAGAGTAATGTCCAAGCAGAGTTTAGTTTATGATTTATTGCCGCTTATTTTTCACATAGAACCAACAGTTCTTGAGTTAATTTTCAATAATTCATTTTTCGTTGACCTTGAAGAAGGCAATGCTGTCACCAAAACGTATTTTGCATTTCTCCTCCTGTCTATTGTCACTGCTTTTTATTAGTATGAGTTTGTCTAGTGACTTTCAGTTATTCCTAAATAGTAGCTTAATTACGCTGTCTCGAATACCGGAAAGTATATATTTGTTTCATCGACATTCTGATTGTTAATGTGATTTGGGCGAGGCCTGACTTGTTCTGGGACTAACAAGAACCTATGGTTGCGTAGCGAAGAGATAAGATGTAATCACGATACCCAAGATCTCGGTTCGAACCCTTTAAGGGTAATGAAGAAACCTGAGCAAGGTCGAAATTTTAGCACAGTCGGGATATTTTTTTAATGTTGAGACAAGAACATGCGAAATTAAATGGCATCGTCAGCCATACCTTACAACAGCTGACTTGGAGATCAAAACCTGGTCCGAGAGCCGAACTTTATCGTTCCCAGAAAAATCTCAGATCGGACGCCGTTGTTATTTTTTGTATCTGTCTACACGTGATTTGGACAAACAGGAGTACCCACAGCTTCTTTACTCAGCTTCTTCTACTCATCTTCCACGCTAGAAAATAGATGATATTTTGGATTTTCTAAATTTCGCACTGAATACGTTTAAGCAAAGCCGCTCACAAGAAATGGATGTGTGTATCGAAACCCGGAGCACCAAAAACCAGAGTACGCTATCTTCCTAGGCCCAGCAGCGCTGAGAAGGATAGTGTTAGTTAGGCTCTTTTGAGGTAATATCGATGAGGATATGGACGACAATAACAGTAGTAATAATTATAAGCCTCAGATGCTACAGTAGATGAATTCGCGGAGCCCCAAACGACTGTGCAAGATCGAAAAATTTATAGAGATTTCATTTAAGTTTATGATCGGTGATCATGAAGGAAGTAAAGAGTATGAATGTATATGGATGCGATTGAGATGATAATGATGATGATGTTTCTCAAGTTATTAAAGCATCAGGGATTAGGATTATGGTATATATATATATATAACATTATTGGAATGTACATGATTAATGTTAGAGGCGAGGCAATCAGGTTAATGAAATTCTCGGCGCTGTGTAGGTGAAAAGGCGATGCTAACTGAGCAAAGAAGGGATAACGAAGGTTATGAAGTAGTTAGGATTTTCAGCTTTGACGGGCCAGCAAGTTCGATTAAATTATCAGTATTATGTTAGTAATGAATAAAAACTGGCTTTCGAAGAATGCCTTAGTTATTTATCGAGACATGGCTTTCAAATACTAATGAAAAGTTAGTTGGAATACATTCTTGAAATGGTCTTACTGGAAGCCGAAGAAAGATTGCTGCAGAAGGAAGACTGTTGGATTGTGCTAAGAAGTCCTCGGCTCACCGTTTTGCAACTCAAATGAATCCGTGTTAAATGTACGTCTGTACTGTGACAAACATCAAGAGAACAAGAATCCATGCTTTACTAAATTCCACAAAATGTACAATATGCCAATATAATAACTGTCTTGGGCTCGCACGACGATAAGCCGAGTAATTCTTTGCACAATTCAACAGTCTTCACTTTGTGAAATCCCACTTCGGTTTTTGGTGAGACCATTTCACGAATTTCTTCCGACCAAATTTTTTTTGGGAATCAAGTTATTTTGTTGTTGAGGTGGGTAAACTGTAGAGGAGTTGGAAGACTTTGAAAAGGAGCAGTTTAGCCAGCTTGATAAATGTGTAGTTACTGAGGCTGAAAAGGACAGCAAATGTGTTCTGTGTTAAAAGTTTGATTAGGAAAACGATGTTTTGTATGCATGAAATGAGATGCTATAACTCTCACCAGACTTCAGGCTAACTAAGCTTTTCTCTTACTAATACACACCAGAAAACTGGTTACCATTTATGGTTTACTCATCAGGTCATCTGGGAAGGGAAATAAATGTCCAATTACGAGCATCGAATTCCCTAATCTACATGTATTTGAGGGGTGCAATGCTGTATACTAGCAAATAATTGAATGTGTAGGTAAAACGTCAAAATCTGGTTATTAGAAAACGCAGTTTTGCCGATTGCCACCGCTCTTGGAATAAGGTTTTTAGCGAGTTTTTGTAATTAATACTTTCTTTGTCTGGCAGGCGAGGCGAAAGCTCGATCTAAATGGAATAGGGCTCTATGATATGAGATCACTAAGGCTGTTTTGAAATTGTGCCCCTCATTATGTGTTTACGAAGTATATGTTTACCACTCTTTCGGGATTATGCAAAGAGAAGCTGGGCTTCCAAGAATCTCATAACAAATTCAACTTGTTGTACCTTTCATTATCTATCAAAATTCGGACGAAAGGATCGGCTGAAGGAGGATTGAGGTCGTGCGAATAAGTCCTCAGCCCACTGTCCAATGACCTAGAATCATCTGTGCTCTGTTTTCAATTGTGCAAATGTTAGGAAAATTTCACCAAACACTCTGTCACTAAACATTTTGTGGCCGATTGCGATCCTATCTACTTCTTATAGCCCATCTTTTTTCACTTACTAAGGCATCTCATAATTTGATTGGCCATTTTATACTTTCCCAAAATACTTGTAAATCAGTGAATTGGCCGTAGACGACATTTGAAGTAAATGCGGTTTTCCCAGTCACATTGTGTACTCTTTTCCACTTGTGTGTGTTCAATACCCATGAGTCGTGTGAGGTGTGAATGTGTGTGTGTGTGTGTGCGTGTCTATTACACTTAAGAAGATATTAAAGCTTTGGGATATCAGAGCTGATGAGTATGGTTATGCAATTAATCGCTAGTATCCCACATATATGACAAGAATGTTATACCTTTGAAAAGAGCCTAATGAACGACTTTTGTTATTTCTGGATTTAGACTTTTTGGTGGGATTAATGCTGGCTAGTGGCCCTATGCTACTGAAAGCAATTAACTATGAGATAGGTTTAACTATGTCTGCTTTGATCTCTCTTTCCAACTTGTGTTATTCTTGTCTCTCTCCCTCCTTTCATTGCTCCTCGCACACATCTGCCAGAGCGACTGATCAGATTCGCGCTAGGGCCCGCAAATCCGATTACACCTATTACGCCGACTATGTGATTCCTGCTCCCGAACGCGAATACATGGGCGTAGACCAATCGGGCCGACGAATCGAGAATCCTCGGCTCGAATGGCCCAATGATGGTTATGGAGTGGCTTCGTCTGGTTTATACTTCCTTCTGATGATTGAGCGTAACCTCTGGACCTCGAGCAGTCAAGATGCCCTCGACATGGTTCACTGGTTGGCCAGTGAACGCAATCACGTTGCTGGGTTCGCAAGCACTTTTGTAAGCCTGTCTGAAGCGGCTCAGAGAGAAAATGTTCATACGACTCACTTAACCTACTAACGATGAGTAGCTTCCTAACTCGAAATAGCCTCACGATACAGTTTCTTGCGATTTTTTTTAATACAAGCCGTTTTCAAGACTAAAGCGACCTAGGATGACTTGACTCCTGTTCAGGAATTAATGCTTGTCTTAGAACTACTTATATCAAAAATAAGTAGCATCGTTTATTTAAATAGCAAACACATTTTTGCTTAATCGGCATTCCCTCAATGCAAATGTGAGTTTAGAGAGGACTGACTTGCCCTAAATGTCACATCTACCATGTGTCCCATTGGCACACATGGCTGTGTAATAAAATTAAGTGATTACATCACTTCGTTGCTCACGACCTGGAACAAAATCTTGCTGGAGGCTCTAATGAGTCCTTGTCGAGGTCAAAGCTGCCTTCTGGGAGACAAGGCTAAGTAAAATTCACTGGCATCGTGACGTCTACTCGACAGATTGTGGGAGAACTCAATTATCAGTCCTTAAATCATCTTAAGTGACCTTGGATGATTAAGCTGTTATTCTAACTTTTGTTTAAAGTCGAGTATAGTTTGAAAATAATGCCTAAATATAATGTATGTTGTCAGTAAAAAGGTAGATAATACACGTTTGCATTACCAGAATAAAAGTTGAAATTATCATCAATTCTTAAGTAATCGTTTGGTTGCTCCAAATCTTTTTCATTTAAACTGAACTGATTGTTCAAGAATTTGTTTCACTGTTGTGGCAAAAGCATGTTTGCCTTACTGACAATCCCACTATAAAGATTTGATTTTCTAGATGCCCGGCTTATCGTGTAAATCACATCTGCTCTGCGACACCTATTTTTACCTGGAGCAGTGTAACAGAGTGAAGCCATGTGGCAATGCTTCCCACGACTTGGTTTCGAGCACAGTTGGGGCTGCTGATATGAATCATAACGTCCATCGACGATGAGAAAACATGTTAGGAAACTAGGCTGAGGGAAATTTACTGGGATCTAGACGCTTATGTGTGTCTTTGTGATAAAAACTCCATTAGCTTAGCCGACTTCGGCTGACTAAGTTCTTGTCAAAAAAATAAGTTTTATTAAGGCCTGACCTCTTCCACCTTCTATATTCTGGTAGACCTTGTTGAAATACCTTACTTAATTATTTTATTTTATTTTTAATGAATAATGTATGTCCATTTCTAGACTAACTTTGATCATACGTTGAGGAAAAATGTAAAAAGCTAAACTTTAAAGGGTCTTTTTATAAGTTCTTGTCATTAAGCTTTTCATTTCCACGCAGCATCATCTTCTTTAAAAATTTAGTGAATTTTGGTTGAGGAATGAAAAAAAGCGAGATGAATAGCGAATGAGTTTACGTACAGCGTCGATGCTGAGGAAGAGACTGGAGTCTTGTGCAGGCCTGCAAAGTCATCTCTCTAATTGGGTAAAAATGCTCGAACCCGACTAAAGTCCACCAAATTTATTAGAAGAATGGATCTTACAACCTATATCCGAAGACTTTTTTAACTGGTCCCAAATCACACGTTTTTGCAAGGAAATTAATTCATATCACTTATTCTTGTTAAAATTTCGTATGCCTACAGCTTGAAATACATCAAGATAAATAAAATTTCAGAGTTGAATGTATCCAAGATGTATTGTTTTTTTTATTTCGTCATGCACGTTGCTCATACAATAAAAAAATCACCTATAAAAGTTATGTACCTTTTTTCACTTTATTCTGAATCTTAAATTTAGGACTCTCTCGTCGCTATGCGGGCTTTGAGGAAGTTTGCACTTTCGGACATTAATCGGGCTCTTTACCGGATGGATGTGGACCAAAAGATATCATCTATGAACACTTGGGAGACACGAATCCCTATAATGACCAACAATTATTCAACCGTCACTGGAACTCTTGTAAGTGTGCCTAGTTAAGCGCAATTTTAGCTGTCTGGCATTATTGAAACGGATAGCTTGGCCGCCAATAATTAAATCTATGGATCTTTCATTTGTCAATGAAGTTTACTCCAGCCACTCTATAAAAAGTTCATGATCGTAAAAATGCATTTAAACTTCTAGTCGTTAGCTCTATAAGCTGCCGGACCTAAAACTTGGTGAGCAATAGCCATGTAATACCAGGGTCGGCGTGAACTTCAAATCCAAACAAACCTTTTATGGAATATGCAATAGACTAATTTATATTGACAATGAGGACATGCGATTTTTACTCATTGCAATGATTTTATTGCCAATTTATTATTCATATGGTTTAAAGAATTAGGAGTTTTCAATAAAAATCCTAATCACCTTTGGTCACATAAGGTAATGTGGGAATGTATAGTCAAATCTGCCATAACAAAATGTGTATTTAACTAAAGAGTACCCCTGAACTTAACTTAGCCTTGCCTCCTAAAAGGTATTCTGAATCAGTTTCAACGTTAGTTTCGGAACGTGATTAAAAATTGGGTCTTGCGCATCAAGCGGCAAATTTGCATCTCAAACTTATTTCGACAGGTTTCGCTGGGTCTTCCGAGACAAACCAGGATCAGCCCACTTCTCTATTTATAGTTCCAGTTATCCAAAATCGTATTTGTTGTCAAGTCCTTTAATATAATTACTTATATTGAAGTAGTGAGTAGTATTTAAACTATCAATATAATGTGGTAGTATCGTTAATTTTAATAACAAATACTAGTTTGTCTTGACGATAAGAGTCCTCCTATAGATTAGCCTAAATGCAATATCTGCTCTGTAGACCAATGATACCTGAGGCTGCCTAAATGGATAGTTTATGGTCGTCTTTGAACGCCAAAGTCTTGGTTTCTAATTTCTTTTGAGAGGCTGATGAGACCCATGCCATGTAGAACTATCAATCCAGCCTGAATAAGAAAGCACTTTTGGAGATTTGGCCTTTGATACATCTTGGATTGAAGTTTCTACTCCACCTTATCGTCTCACACGCATCCCTGGCAAGAATTAAAATCTATTCGATATATGCCTAGTAATGTCGTCGATTATAATAGCAATTACAAGTTTGCCTCATTGGCAGTCCCAGAATAAAAAT